TCTGCCTCATGTACCATCAGCCCTGACCACACCTGAGAAGACCTGCCCAGTCTTGCTCTCCCCCAATGAAATTAATCCATGTAGAAATCCACCACAAATCTTTATATTTCTTAGCTTCTCAAGCTATGATTAGATGATCTATTCCCCTTGTACTGACCTTCTACTTTTGAGGGAATTTTGCCTCTGCTGCTATATAGGAAAAGTCTTTTCCATATGTAACAGGTTTTCATTAATCCTTTTTACCACAGTGTCCTTTCAAAATCACAGGCCCCAGCATATCTCCAGTTAACACCTGGTGACAGCTGTTTTAAAATCTTGGGATGCTTCAGTATGCAAGAACTGACTGGCCAAAGAGGACAAAGATACTCGCATTACAGCACAAATAAAGGTGGCAGGTCAGGTCAGAAATGAATGAGGACAGCATTCCTCAGGCTACATAGGGAAGGAAAGGACAGGGTACACAGGCACGGTGAAATTGAGGGGCAGATGGGGAATAAGTGATTGGAAGACAGGGAGAAAGGATGGATGATCCTGAAGTACATAAAACCTTACATATTTCTTGAGGCTTAGCAGTATTCAGCCAGAAGCAGTAGCTCATTTTATTTTAAAAGGCTCTATCTCAGAATTACAGAAATAGACTGGTCACTGACTGGCATTACATTAATCAGCCTCATTATCACTATTGTAAGAAAATTCATCTCTATAGTTATATAGTGTATGGCTATAGACATGTAGAATATGGCTTCAGTAGAGTGTGATCAGGGACTACTAAAACAGATAATTTTCTAACAGCAGCGGAGTTAGTCCCATATTTATCAATTCTGCTTAGCTCTGTGAACTGCTCCTCAGAAAACCTGCCTTTGACACATCCCGACACATTAGATGTATCACAAGATCTGCTTGTTGGTGACACAGCATTGCACATAATACCAGGTGCAGAACAAGAGATGATATCAAGCAGTTGCTGAGTTATCTTTGCTTGCTCAAAGTCTGTAAAGGAACAATGATGAAGCTAATTAATTGGAGGTAATTAATTGCAAGCATCTGAACAAAGAAAAAATGTACAAAATGAAACAGATTTGCTTTGGTTGTGGTCATATCTTTTTCTACCTTGTCTTGAGAATTCAGATTGAGTTACACATTTGACATCAAGGGACGGATTCAATTTGGTGTGAAGACATTTACCTTTAGGCATTCACATTTAAATGTCTAAACTCTATTTTTAGTTACTGCTAAGATGCTCCTTAGGAAGAGTTCATTTGGACACCTGCCTAGGATTCAGATGCCTAAACATAGGCACCTCATGTTGTTTGGGTGCCATGGAGCCTGCAGTCTGGCCCCTCACTCATGCTCCAGGGAGTGCAGAATGCCTCCCTGCCCCTTCTGACATGGCCAGCCCCAAGCAGACACCTGGAGGACCTTTGGGCACCTCAGAGGGCCCTCAGAGCTATCTGTGGGCAACTGATGACTGTCCTTAATGGCTTTGCAGAGGCCCTGGCCCTTAGGCTGCGTTGACTGTATCTCTATTGTCAGGAAGGAGAGTTTAGAGTCACATGCGCTTGATCACACATAGACACTGAAGTTCAGGTGTCTTAATCCCACCTTTGGGAGAGGCCTGGTTATGAAACATGGGGTTCACAGGCAGTGTTTGTATTACATCTCATTTTTAATCTCTAATCTTTTACCAATTTTCATATGATAACAACCAATTTCCACTACTGTTCCTCAGTAACACAATTTTAAAATTATCTATTTATTATTACTTCAGCATTTAATTGCTACAGTTACACTCTGACACCTCCTTACATTTTTTTTGTTCTAAACAGCTACTGAATAAACTACATTTTAAAAAAAGAAATGGAAAAATAAAATGCAGAAATTATTTTGACCATCTAAAGTAACTTGGTGTATCTGTTTCCATGAATATATAGCATGGTTTTGTGTTTAAATGTGCATATAAATAATGCTCTGGAAGGTAGATGCCCTCTGTCAGCTGAAGTTCCAGTTATGTAAATGAGATAATTTACTGGATCTTTCTCAAACCCACGAACTTTTTCTTTGATTAAAAAAAAAAAAAAAAAAAAAAAAAAAAAAAAAAAAAAAAGAAAAGAAATCTGTCTTTGCACACAATTTATTTGTATTTATGAGAACATTTGGTCTATAAAAGAGCTCTCCATATGTGTCTCCATTAAGGTTTGGGTTCAGATCTGGAATGTGTTTCTGAAGCCAAATCTCCCAGTTTTTCCCTGTTACCATGCCTTGCTTTGCACTGGGTATGAGTCCTGGGATACATAGATTGGATTCCCTTCAGGTGAAATAAAACTAGAAGATGAGCTTCAGGAATCAGGAAGGCTGAGAGAGTTGGGGTTGTTCAGCCTGGAGAAAAGAAGGCTCCGGGGAGACCTTATAGCGGCCTTCCTGTACTTAAAGGGGGCCTACGGGAAAGATGGGGAGGGACTCTATCAGGGAGTGTAGGGATAGGATGGGGGGTAACAGTCTTAAACTGAAAGAGACCAGATTTAGACTAGATGTAAGGAAGCAATTCTTTAATGTGAGGGTGGTGAGGCACTGGCACAGGCTGCCCAGAGAAGCTGTGGCTGCCCCCTCCCTGGCAGTGTTCAAGGCCAGGTTGGACGGGGCTTTGAGCAACCTGGTCTGGTGGAAGGTGTCCCTGTCTTTAAGGTCATCCCTTCCAAGCCAAATAATCCTGCAATTCTATGATTCTATGAATATGCCCACTGCTCTCCAACTCCTAATATGCCTTCAGTTCCTGGGATGAGAGTAGAGCTAGTCTAAAGTTAAATTAGTCTGGAATCAGGTACCGTGTGTACAGGAGATCCTCAGCACCAAATGTATCTCTCCACAGATCCAGTCCTGTTGAGCTGCAGTATTTATTAAAGTAGATGCAGGCTCAGAGAGCTAGAACTTTAGATCCTTAAAGCAGCAGAAACTTCATGTTTCAGTAGCATCCAACAATGCAAACAAATTTGCCCAAAACAGAGTATCTACAAAGACTGCCTGTCTGAAATACTTCCATAGCATCTTTTAATATGAGGCCATCCTTCATGAATAGTTTAGGTCAAAATACATGATAAGTTTGAAAGTGCTCTTAGTCCTATTTTTCAGTTACAAAATTAAACTGTGCCTAAGGATGCCTTCCCAATCCTCCCCCAAAGCAGACACATGGGTCCCACACAACAAACTGCTGTCCAAACCACAGGATTATTTTTCTTGATTATTTGTATATGTAACAAATTACCCCCTTTATTTCTTTTTCTTTTTTTTTTTTTTTTTAATACTGTGTAAAGGACCATATATGATGCTAACTAACTGGTAGGGACAGGATAAATCATTATGGTGAGCAAGATATGTGATGATTTCTATTATAGAATTTCAGCTACTTCTTCAATATCTCTTATCCTAGACCCTGTCAGAGACAAGATACTCAACAGGATGAATCGCTGCTCTGATCCCGTATGACAATTCCTGGCAATCAAAAGAAATGTTTTTATGGCAGCAATGCTAGTAGTTTTAAAAATGCTCCCAAATGAGCTCTTAGTTTCTGAATCCTAGATCTTAGTGGAATCTGTGTTACGGTCCATGCTGAATGCATGCTGACTTCCCAGTCGTGATCTTCTGTGGCTGTATTCTGATTTCAGTTCTATTCCAGGTTTCCTTCAACACATCTTAATTTCCATTTCTTTATTTCACTGTGTGTGCACTATGTATCCTCACATGCACGAAACTATGTGATTCTGAATTATCACATTTCTTCTTCAAGTAATATGGTCACATTCAGTGCTGACACATGCTGCATTCTTTTCAGAGGATTAACTTGATCTCCAGATGGGCCATCTCTTTATCACTGATATTTGACATTCATTTTTCTTCTGGATTCTCCTTTACTACTTACAAGTCTAAAGATGTAGACATGCACAAACAAATATGTATATATGTATATATGTGTGTGTGTGCATGTACACTTATATACACATACACACACCCTTTTTTCCTACACATTGATCTATGGACATCTGTAAAAGATTGCTTTGCTATATATATATCCAGATAGGCCTCCATCTCTTCTCTGAAAACTGCCTACCTCCCATCTACATGATTTTTTTTTCAACTTTCACATCTCTATACCAAATTATTTTCTCATCTGAGTTTTATCATTCTTCTGGCTGTCCATGGACATCACTAATCATGATGGCTTTACCTCTTGATCTACACTCTTATTGTATGTTTCAGAATCAGTAGGCTAATACTGTACATATGATGGGGGATTACAAAATTAGCATTTAGAGAAGCATTTAACAGCTGTTTTAACAGCTGTGGTGAAACAAGGAACTACAAATGTATCAAGCAGGAGCCCTTCCAAAGTAGCAAGAATCTTCAGAACAAAATACAGGTTTATCCAAGTGTTACATGAAATCAACAGCATGCACTGTAGAGAATCAAGCAAACAAACATCTAGATGAATACATTGTATGAATCATGAAATATTAATGAATAAATAATGCATAGCATCTTGATAGCTTTTTTGGCAGAACTGTGAACTACGTGGTTGATGGAACTAGGATATAAATACAAGACTTGGATTTTAATAAGGCATTTGAAACGTGTTGAGATATTCTTGCTTTCATTGGTTTGCACATACTCAGGGTACCATGCTTTATCTACCTACCTGTAATATCACGCTAAGTCACCTGATATGATATTTCTACTACCCTTCCCTTTGACACTGTCTTCACATTTGGGAAAATGAGGGGTATGTGTGTTAGTTTTATAAAGAATAATATTTTTGCTCGGGGATGGGACAGCAATCTCTAAAAACTGACCTGAGAGACCTCCACTATTTACAATCTCACTTTCAAGGCTGAAGAACCCAGTGTTCAAGCATCAGCAAGCGCTGGAAAAAACTGTTAATTAACTTCAGTTCCAAAGAAGGATCATAGCAGGAAAACCTGTTGAGAAACCACATATCCTGTCTTTTTGACCAAGGCCCTGGAGAAAGACTTGGGAAACTGAAAAAGAGCAGCAAACTGAGCCAAAATCTGCTGTTTGTAATGTGGGGATCATTATGAGACTTGACCTCATAAAACCTAGACAATAATCAATTTCTTTGTTCGTGAGAGAAGCCCACTGAGGAGAAAAACAAATACCTAAGGCAATGCACTATGGAGCCTGGTGATACTGCCTAGAAACATTGAAGAAGACACATATTGGAAAAATCATATATTGCAGCACAGATATTCTGTGGGAGAAAGAAAATAGAAAGGTAGAAATGCTGAAAAAGGTCTAAGGAGTATACACAGGAAGAAGGATCAGAACTGGGATTGTGGTATTCAATAACAAACAAACAAAAAAATAAACCAAAACTAGCAGCCAGTGCGTTTTGCAGCTCTGTTATTAAATGTTCCATGGTGTGCAGTCTGTAAAATAGAGTTAGGGATCAGGGAGGCACCAGGACCACCAGTGGTCCCATGAGCCTACCAAGGTGACCCGGGAGATGGAAAGAGTTAGGTGGTCCTTCCTGATAACATATTCCTGAAAGCACACCCCGAATACCCCCCTCTGGCTACCTTCATGCCAGGATGAATTGGAAGGAGTTCAGACAAAAGCAAGACAAATGACAAAGAGCTGGAGGGAATGACTTCAAAGGAAAGATTAAATGAGCTAAAATATGCATAGCATGGCTAAGGAACAACTGTAGGTCAGGAGACAGGGAGTAAGAGTAACTGCTAGCCATTCTTAGAGGTGTAAACTAACAGGTCTCTCGTTGACAGTAAATAGAAAGAAGGAAGAATTTTAGAATCATTGCTTCTAAAGCAATATTATTTTGCTTTGATTTTTGCTTGGTACATGGTAGCTTTACTATACCATTGTGGTCTGCCAGAAGCAGGAAAGAGACAAGCCCTGAAAAAGCACCCTGTCCCTTACCAGTGCATTCTGAATTCTGTTTTATAATTCGATTGCCTCCTCTCTCTTCTTACTGCTCTAGGCCGGGCTCATCATTACACAGGGCTAAGGAACCAGTTCTCTCTGAAACCAAGAACATTTCAACAGAGCATGTTCAAAATAATTTATGAACATTTTCAGTATTGCTACTGGATTGCTACTTCTTCTTTGCCTTGGAATTGAAGGACCAAACAGCCTTGGAATTCCTTGGACTCATCATTTCAATGAAATAAAATAATAACTTTTGAGCATGAGAATTCCTCCTCCCATCTGGTTTGGTGGGTTTGTTGTTGTTTTTGGGGTTTTTTTTTCTGTTGTGTCTTCAGGTGACATGCAGAGAGATCTGAGAAACACAAAAGCTTCACCTCTCAGGAGGAATATGCCTTGTCTTGGCATCATTTCCCTGTTTAGGTAGATTGTGGCTAATCAGGGAGGGAAGAGACTCCAACTGTGCTCTCCAGCAGCACAGAATTTGTGCCTAGGACAGTTGTCTTTCCATATTATTCTCCCTATCTTCAAACGCTAATTTTTTGACAGCCACCTCTCTACATTTTCTTTCTGTTAGATTCTTTGTTGATTACTAATGATGCCAAGATTTTTCCCAGTAAGCATTTTTTTCTAGTAAATCTTTTGAGGATTTTCTTTCTTCCTGCTTACCCTATATTTGCTGGTGTAATTTATATAACTCCTGCTGTGTTATCTTTAACATCAGAGTATCTACCTAGACTGTCTTTAATCATACATGTGAATGCTTAGCACTGGGGAAACTTTTCTTGGAGCATGAAAGACTGATACTCTTTCAAGCAATAACATTAACCCATATTGTTACGAAAGAGTAGTTTTCCTAACAAATGTTTTAAAATTATGAGTTAAGAGCATCTCATCCATTATGCTCAGTAGCCATTTGACCAAGAACTGGAAAAATGAACAAAATATCACTGAATTACAGAAGTTACAGCTGTGCAAGACACATATACTGGGAGCTTCTTCGACTGCTCTACGCTCTACTCTTTTCATTATGGAAGAGCTCCCTACGCTACAATTTGCTTTCTTTTTCAGGTCATAAATTCATTTCCATTCACAATGCAAAAAAGGAGTAACACAAACCAGGACGTGAAAAACTACATCTTAAACCAAATTAAGCCTGTGGAACCTATGACAGGCTGAAAATTTTTATACTGAACGGCTTTCACTAGAGTTAGCAGCTTGAGTGGTATGAGAAAATTCATGGGAAAGTGTTGCTTTTGATCAAACTTCCCCATATAAAATTGGTTTTGAGTAAGCTATTATCAGAGTGGAATGTTGCATTTTGCATTTTGGCACAGTAAAGTATTCTGGTTTTCTTTTTTTTGTATAGAAACCTCTGTGTGGTATGTATTTATGCTTCTATGCAATATCATGCATATATAATAACCAAAATTACAATTCACATCACAATTTTTTTATATTGTCAAAACTGGAGAATTCAAAGATATTAAAGATGTAGTGATTAGAAACTGCATGGGAATTTCTGATTTTTTAACTGTATTTAGAAGTGAAAATAGATGGAGTTCTTTTTCTTTGCAGGATCTGGTAAAATTATTAATATTATTATTTTTCCTTCTTGTTGCTTTCCTGGTGAGCAAACAATCAAATTTTAAAAGGATAATCTTTTTCCAATCTTTGGCTACAGCTAACAATACTATTACAGACAGAAGTTTGAAAAGTTACAGTATAATTGAGGTAGCATGAAGAGAATCAAGACGGCAACATGGATATGCAGATATTAATATAAACTGCTCCTCACATTCCAGAGAAATTTACATTCTTTCCCAGTATGTCATTTCCTTATAGAAAAATACTTCTACCTTCACAGAAGAGTCCTCTCTTGGATGCACAAATGACAGCTTTCACATCCTGAAAGACAGTCTGTAGTCTTCCCTGCTGTCATCGTCTGGACATTTGGAGGAGAAAAAGACAAATGCCCCTGTATTTGTTTTTTGTACAGAGAGCAGCCAGCCAACAGCAGCCTCTACATGCAGCTGTTTCTACAGACATAGTACATATTTTTACATCAACTCAGAACCAAAGGCATAAATAAACCTTTTAACTTCCTTATAACATGTAAACATGGTCAAATCAGTTTTGCATTAGATTACTGATTCTCATTTATTTTACTGCCTGAAATAATTTGAAAGTGGCTCAGAGCAGAACATTTCCTTGGGTTTAATTTATTTAATTGTTTGAATAAGCAGACATAAAAAGAAAAGGGCAAATGAGTTTGTTCTCTGAAGGGATGAATGCACTACTAGCTTTCCGATGGGGCACTCTATTTTCTCTCTGCATCATCCACATTTGTGCAATTACATAATTGCAGAATAAAGTTAAAAGTTTAGAAACCACCTTATTTGGGCTCACAATTAAGCTTTCAGGTGCCCTTAATTAACACAACCATTTGCCAAATCTGACCATGCACTTGTGAGATGAAACAGTTTCAAAATGCCCGGTTTGCCTGTGAGGCACCCAGAGCAGTCACATCTGTGATATCCCACTCTCAAAACTAACACAGTGAGAGCTTCTTCTGCTTGTTCAAATAGTCTCTGCATTCAGCATGGGCACCGGTGTGTAATGGAGAAGGGACAGAGAGATATGAAAAAAGGAGTAAAGACAAAGCAGAAAAATAATTAGTGTGTGGTGGGGTTTCTCCCTCAGAATCTCCACTGGATTCCTCCCCGAAGATTACATAGCCAGCCAGAAAGTTGAGCGCTACTTCTCTGTGTCTCCAGCTGTATTCATACGGCACACAGATACTGCAGTCATGCTTGGCTATTTGCTACCTAGACACGTCAGAGGAGATCCTATAGGATCTCCTTCCTGACACCTGCTTTTTGGAGACGGAGCTAGTCTTAATAACAGAAGCCAGCAGATGCAGTAGTTGCTCAGCACATCTGAAATGAGGCCACTTGCATTTAAGAGCTTATAAATGGATTTAGTTTCTAATTCCAGGACTGGGGAAAATTTTGAGGAAAAAGTATCTAGCTGATCATAGGATTTTCATTTTTAACCTCTCCATAGATGTGCAGTTCTTTAATTATCAGTGCTGTGTATACACCCTATAATCTATGTATAAATCAGTGAAATGGTCTTCCTATATTTAAATTCAGTATTCCCTGATCAATGTATGTACATAGATATGCATGAAAAAAACCTACCCCACGTGCTAGCACAGCCTCATACATTTCCCTGTTCTTTTATTCAGCAGCATTGGATTTTTATTTTTTATGCAGTCATACTCCTTTGACAGTATGTAGCTGTCATGGTTCCGTCTCACAGGTTTCTATACATCAGAGACCAGCTTTAAAACTGTTTTGACAGGTTAAAAGCTGGGATTTTTCCAAGGACAGGATGGAAAGAAGCAGGAATGTGAGAAGTGAAAAAGAATATTCCTTGACACCCCCTAATCTCCTCAGTGCAGATGGCACTGTCTTTTTCAAGTAGTTTCTGTGCACAACAATCATTGCGAAAGAGTGAAAGCCTGAGAGCTGGAAATAGTCTTCTTGGGAGATACATACATATCTGTATGTACATCTATCCCATATGCACAGCCTGCATGCACAAGCAGACAAATGTGCAAAGCTTACCTTCCCTCTTCTTCATCCCCCATCCATTCACTAAAATTAATTGCTCCCCAAGATGCTGTAGGCCACATTGTTAATTATTGTCTCTCTCTTCTGCACCTGAGGCATCACACTGGTTTAGAAAACAGCCTGCAAACAGATGGAGAGCTGCTGGAGATGAATCTGCAGGTATGTGAAAAAATGGATACAGACTTTATGATACTGCAGACTCAGATGGTCTATTAATTTTCAATAATATTCTGGAAAAGAAGGACATCTCTCCATGGTTTTAGGTATAATTTGTTTTCAAAAAAGGAGTTACAAGAGCCAATTACTTTTATGATTTCTTCACCATCACTTATGTTTAACGAATGTTTATGGGAAAATATCCCAATCATCATTGCACCAGCCTTGCAGTTTCTTAGATAACCCTGCCCCTTGGCAGCCAGCTGCACAT